GGAATGAAATCAGCAACTCTCTCCACTCTAGTCAACACTCCAATTTTCAAAGCCGCATTCGCAAACGTCAGTTTGGGCGGGGAACAGTGGGGGTCTTGAACTCATCAAAAAATTATTTTTCTCCTCTGACAGTCTACCAAAAGATGTCAAACCAAATTCAGCCTATTGTAAAGCACTGGGACCTCCCTTCCAAGGACACATGACATAAACATAGACGCCGCTGCAAAAGCTGTCCAAAAGCGCCTGGCCCGACAGAAACATAAGAGATCCAGATAAAAACGAATTAGAACCCTCAAGAGGGTCCCGCAGAGACAGCGAAAACGAAGGTAGCATTTATTCAGGGGCAGACAGCAACGAACCAAAGAAAGTTGCCCCAGTCGGACTTTCGGGCCTTTTTCCATCCAAGTTCATGCTCAAGGCAGATATATTTGGGGAAGAGGGGTCCCTTCCTCTAGAGACATCTCAGCAGCCTCTGGGGCCCGCTGTCGCTCAAAAGGGAAGCCCCTCTAGCTTCATATCCGTTCCTTTGCCCCTGGACAAAGGCAGAGGAGGCTGTTGAGCTGACCTAGCACTGTGGGCCATCCATCCTTGGGCCTGGCTTCATCTGCGATGTTCAGCATCAATTTATTATTTTTTATTTTTACAAAGCATCTTGGGCGAGTATATGCATTGCGAGAAGGGGTTGAACACAGGAGAGGAGGAGTTGGTAGTGGAGCCTAGAACCCTCCTTCCTCTCCTCCTGCCAGGGTTGCCGTGCAGGGAGTGTCGGCCACATTTGGCGCACTGTCCCAGGCCCCGGGCGAGGGTGGCCAGTGGAAATGGGGCTTAGGGACTGCTAGGCAAACGGCACCGTTGGTGATCTCCAGCGCCTGTGGAGGTAGGATTGTTTCTTTTTTTAAAGGGGCGTGTGATTTTGTTCTTTTTTGGAGGTGGGAAGGAGTTCGTTCATTCGTGCGCTACGAGGTGGGGGGGCGTTGCTGCACTGCCAGAGTACCCGGAGGGAGGGTGCGGGGATGTCTACAACGGTACAGTAATTATTCTTGGGGCGTAAGAGGGCAATTAGAGGGGACGGGGTGGGCGGCACCTCAAGCTGTGGCAGTAGCAGCAGGGAAGGTCGCGAGGGGCTTACCCGGGCGGGCGGGCGCTGTCCTGCCGCAGGTGAGGGAGGGCGCGCGCTAGGCAGGCG